TGTATGGATCCAAGTCTGTCTCCCAAGAAGATGAAGTGGGCTGTTTCCCTCAAAGCCCCATTTGGGGGAACTCTGGAGCATGAGCTCTACAGGGAACAGTGGCCGATTACTGTGTACCCAGCAAGGACTTCCTCACCTGAGCTGTGTGTCTCCCTCAGCACAGTTTGTGTGCTTGGTGTTGGGTGATGACCAGGGTCAAAGTTGAAACCGAGTGTCACACCTGACTTATCAGGTCACCCGATGATTTGGCTTCTGTGACTCTAGGCAAGGCTACTTAGCAGTGAACACCTTGGTCATGCAGGTGGCCTTTCTAGAATCGAGAGTGCCAGCAGGGAAGGGGAAGCAGAAGTCACTGCCAGGGACACTCCCAAAGGAGCCTCACCAGGTGTTATCGGCATGTATTGAACTGTGGCTACTGACACACAGCCCCGTGGCCACGCTTCCTTTGGCCAGTGCTAGCTTCCCTCAGTGCTGCCTGCCACCCTCGCTTTTTCACCAGCAGTTTCAAGTCACTTTTTGTCATGTGTATTTTTGTACCGAATATCTCATTTTATCCAGGGGGTTATTTCAACATGCTGGTCCAGCATTGCCAGCTCCTCACAAGGGCAGATCTTAACATTTCCTCTACTATATATAGTATAAAAGGCAGAGGGCCTTCCGCGTGTCTTGGACATGTTTGTTCCTGTCTGCCTGAGATGCACTTTGGAGAAAATGTTGGGATCACTTAGAATTTGGGATTGAGCCGGGTACAGTGGCACACACCTGTAATCCCAGCACTCGAAGCAGAGGCAGGTGGATTGCTGTGAGTTCAAGGCCAGCCTCATCTACAAAGTGAGTCCAGGATAGCCAAGGCTACACAGAGAATCTCAGTGTCGAAAAAACAAAGAACCAAACAAACCTGAAATCACTTTGCAGAGCTTTTGAGTTGGCCACGTTGTGTGTCATAGGGGAGGAGGACATGAAACCTGGAGGCAGGCTGGGTCAGTCGCGGTGGCACCTCACATGAGGGGGGAAAAGTGGGGCAGAGAGAGATGAGAGGTGGCAAAAGGTGGTAAGTTCAACAAGCTGGCACCAGGCCACTGGCACTGGGAGTAAAGGATGCCCAGACCGCACCTTCAGAAGGAGGGGCTGCTCAGGTGACGACCTGAGCTGCATAGGCTGAGAGGAGGGCTGATGTGGAGGTGGGAGAAGGGAGGGATGGAGTGCTCGGAGCCCTTCATCAGATAAGCAGGACAGGATGGCTAGAGGCCATGCAGAGAACACAAAGGGCAGAGATGGGGAGCAGTGCAGGCTGGGGATGGTCCGCCTCCTTCCTGCTCAGGTGCTGGAGCCAGGTGAAAGCTGAAGAGGAAATGGAGTCTGTCCAGACAGTGAGAACAGAACATGCCAGGCTTCTTCCAAGCCACATATACTGATCACCTGCCCTGATGCAGGGTGTGGTGAGGTAGGCAGGCAGAAAGGCCAGACCTGGGGTCCCTTGGGAGGGTTCCTTTAGTGCCTGACGGTCTGTGGGCATGCCTGGCACTCTGGCAAAGTACCAATACGTTTACTGGGAACTGGTCGTGGAGCCAGCAAGGACATAGGCCATATTCTCAGCCTGCCACACTTATCTGAAACACCAGTGTGCAGACAGAGTTGTGTCCCCTCCAAAATCATGCTAAAGTCCAGCCATCAGGAAATTAGGCACCCTATTTTGGAGATAGGCCTGTTCAAGAGGTGACTCAGGAGGGAGAGGGGTGTTCTGGTGAATGTGTCCTAAGAAAGGATGACTCCGAGAACACAGAGGACTCAGTCTGCACAGGGGTCTTGGGGATAACCTGCTGCCACATGTCTTGTTCAGTGCCCTGTTGGACTGTATTGGCAACCTGGGCCAGGGAGCAGAGCCCACATAGGACCAGAATGACAGACAGCCTAGCACCCCCTTAAGTTTCCCTTTCTGTAGGATCCCATTCAGGGAGGTGAGAACCCTGAGATCCCACTGGCTTATCTGAGGAGCTGGGAGAATGGCCATGCCTGACCACCACAGCATTTGGCCTCAACTACAACCACAGGTCACTTCATGATTTATGCCATAGCTGCCCAAGAAGGAAAGGAGGAGAAAGGGGAGGGGAACAAGGCAGCTTTCAGGGAAGTGGTCCTGGCCAAGCCATGCTTAGCAGCGGTGACCCTCACACTACTGTCATGACAGATCCTGGGACACCCAATGCTGTGGCTGGCCTGCTGTGCCCCAGATGATCTCAGTGCCAGTGTCCTCAGCCTGGGCTGTCCTGACCTGCAGCCACCCACCCCACCCGACTACCCACTGTCATTCCATGTCCACTGTGCACCATGGCCACCTTCATTCCATCTTCAAGTGAGAACACTGAGGCAGAAGAGAGGTGGTGCGGAGACAGGATAGAACCCGGTAGATATCCCTCCTGGGATAGAACCAGGAGGCCCCATGTGGCATGGAAGTCACCATGACCATCAGAGGTCTCTCTCCGCCACATGTGCTAGGAGGACCAGTAGGTGTCAGCAGGCAGAAGCACAGGCCTGCTTCATGGGGGCACAGACCAGCTTTCTGTATGGGAAAGGCTGAATGGGAGTTGAGAGTCAGGGAAACTGAGAAAACAAGGGCGACAGAGGAGCAGAACACAGGTACCAAAGCCACATAGGATGGACACTACTCTGTCCCCCAGCCGCCTCTCAGCTTACGGATAATTGAGAGTATGGCATCAGGGGATCCTTCATAACGGTGGTACAGGTGGCAGCGGCAGCAGAGGTGGTGGGCGTGACGGCGTGATGGCGTGACGGTGGCTGTCAGGGAGGAGTTGTGGCAGTGATGATGGTGAGGGTGATGATGGTAGTGGTGGTCTTGATAATAGAGGTGATGTCAGTGGGGGGATAGTGACCATATTGGATAGTGGTGGAGGTGATAGTGGGAGAAGTGATGGGCGTGCGGGTGATGGTGGCAGCAGTTGCAGCGGTAGTGGTAGGAGTAGCTGTGGCGGTAACGGGTGCTTATGGAGATAGTGGAGGTGATGGTGGTGAGGAGGGAAGTGACAGTCGTGCTAGTGAATGTGGTACAATTAGTGATTAGAGAAGATGGTAATGGTGGCGGTGATGAGGTGACAGTGGTAGCAACAGTGGAGACAGTGATGGAGATGGTGGAGATGACGGTGGAGGCAGGGACAGTGATGGAAGCTGTGGAGACCATGGAAAGGCAGATGGAGGTCCTGGAGATGGACTGGTGGGAAGCTGCTGGCAGCGCTTGAGTTGGAGGCAACAGAGCCCAGGGCATTGACAGAAGTAGTCGTAGAGGTGGGAGTGCCAGAGGCGATGCACTGGAGGTGATGCCAGTAGTGGTGAAGGCAGTGGAGGTGATGTGGGTGGGAGTGGTGTGGAGTACACGCAAGGTAGACATGGCATGCCCGACATGGAGGTGGGTGTCATGGCGGCTGTACACCTGTCTGGAGAGATGGAGCTGAACTGGGGGAGACATTATGGAAGGCAGGACAGAGGCACAGAGAGCTCATCCCCGCCACTCCTGTGCAGGCCAGGTGTGGAACTCTATCTGCAGTGTTTCTTCTTCCTTCCTTAAGGGTGTTTATAGAAACTCCCTGTGCTGTCAATATCACAAAGGGGTAGGACCAAAGGGATGTTAATATGGTGGACAGCTCAGTTTCCCTGAGGCCAATGGCTAGGAAGCTGGGGAGGCAGCAGCTGACCCCTGCTTCACTTTATGGCCTCAACCTTCCCACCCCCATTCCATCTCACATGACCACTTTCCCTTGTTCTGGGCTACCTTGCTTCTTGGTCCACTCGGAGGTTCCTGGGAAGTCATAGCATCTGGGGAAGCTTCCGGGAATGCCTCTACACTACCTCTAGCTTTGTTCATGCTGCTCTGCTGAGTACCAGTCCCTTGGAGGCCCCAGGCCTCTGGCCACTAGGGTCTATGCTGCTCGCTGTGCCACACAGCCGAGGCACTTAGCAGTACTGGGAGGCAGGCAAGTCCTGAACTTGTTGCATATTGACTGGGATTTTGGGCTATCACCAAACCTTTCTCCTTGCCTCAGTTTACTATCTGGCCAACAGGGCAAGATGGATATCTCCAGAAAGGGTGCCCAGAGGCCCATGTTGTCCAGTAATAGAGCTATAGGCTTAGTGAAGCCCAGCTGGGTGGAGTCCAGCAGACCAGAAGGGCCCCAGGAAGCCTCCCCTCCTGGGGCTCAAGACCCCCTCCTCTCATCTCCATTGGTATGGCAACAGCTGCTTCCTCCTCCTGGACTGGAAAGCTTGGGCTGAGTCATGGGCTCAACTGGGAACATGACAGGGCCTCCTGCAGGACAGTGGCTCTCATCCAGGCACAGTGTGGGGCAGGGTCAGTGGGGGACAGGGGAGAACTTACATCTGGGGCCAGAACTGGAAAAGCCCCGGGAGTTGGCCCAGGAACTGTCAGGCCTGTCCGGTACCAGCTTAGGACCAGGACCCCTGGGACAAGCACAGCTCCCACCTTGCCCTGAACTTGGCCAGAGCAGAATGAAGCTGATACCACATGCCAAGGCCATTCCACTCCATCCACCAAAGGGCCTGGTGAAATGGTAGATAGAGCCTGGAGGGCTCGGGGTGGGGGCATCTATATCCCTGTTCTCACCCTGAAAGAAGTGTGAAGGGAATAGTGGAGGAGGGGTTTGTTAAGAGAGCAAAGTAGGGATAGCTTTGGTTTGCCTGGATGGTTTGGAGGAGGTAGAGAGCCAGGACCACAGAAAAAGGTCTTACATCCGAGACCCTGCCCCTTCCTCACATTACCCTGCCTTGCTGGGTCTTCTCTACCCAACCCCAGCCCTCAAGGGAACACTGGGGAAAGAGGGTGCCCATTGCCAGGCCTGTTCCAGTCCACTCACCCCACAGGCCATGAACATCTCTTGGACTGAGTTCCCAGGGAGTCCATCACTGCTACTCCCAGCCCAGCAAAAGCCCACTTTTCCTAACCCCCAAGAATAACTACAGCCATCTTCATCTGTGGTTGGCTTTATTTTAGTCATTGTGACTGCCAGAATGTGTGAAATAAGAAGACAGCACTGGTTTCTAGGGGTGGCGCGGGCTGACACAAACAGGGCTATGCAAACATCCCAGCCAAACTATGTGGGAAGAGCTGTCCTGGGGAGTCATGTCCCAGTGGTCCCTCCAGGGGCAGAGCAGCAGTGAGACCACAGGCAGGGACAGTAGCTGGGCCAGCCCGAGGAACCCACAGCAGAAAGCACCTGGACCGCTTCTGCACACACCTGTCCTGTGCGCACACACAGGCAGTGTGTCAGACAGATGCATACACGCAACTGAACCATGCCAGTTATGAACTTACAACCAGTCACTTATTCTTTGCTAGCTTCACAGTAACTGTGCACCAAAGACAATGAGTCCAGTGTTGACTCAGGGCAGGCTCCCTGCCCCAGGGAAGCAAGCACATGAGGAAAACCAACGCAACGGTGCTCCGCCTGCTCACTTGCAGTACTGCTAACAGACAGACAGACAGACAGATACACACACACACACACACACACACACACACACACACACACACATACAGAGTGCGTGCCCAAGAGAGAGAGCATGCATGCACGCTCAGGTTGTAATTCACAGGGTCCTACCAGCCCTTCCAGAGGTGGAGTCAGAAGCCAGGACGCCTCTTCTCCAGCCCTCTGGACTGTGGCCCATCCTGGGACTCCAGTCTTGTAGCATCACTGGAGGCACCAGCTTCCCAGGCTAGCCGTGGACATATCAGGAGAGCACAGAGATGGTCAGGAGATGAACAACGGACCTTCCACCTTGGGGAGACCAACGGTCACTTCACTCCAGACCAAGCAGGCAAATAAATACATCAAGTGTTAGCAGAAGACATAAAGACAGACTTGCCCCGACTCTGTCCTCCGGGCCACTTGCAGTCATCAGAGACAGCCCAGCTGGGGAGAGGGCAAGCTGTTTGGGGCATCTCTACCACTTTCTCTGATGCAAGGCCGAGGCATCTCCTATCCTACCCCATCCCCTTCCTGAAACAATCAAGGTTCTGGGACAGCAAGGCTTGCTTGGGGCGCAAGTAGTCAAAGCAAGGTGGCCCATATCCACGACAGAGGCAGAAGACAAAGTCCTTCACATTTCAAGGGTGTCAGCCTTCCTTCCAGGGCCATAGATGAAGGGTGCCTGCCTCCCTGTCTCCCTGTGACAGCTGCTTCTACCCATGCCCCCCCACCACCACCACGGCAGGAGTAGCACAGCAAATGTCGCTCCTGTTAGGCTGGACAAGCTCCGGCCCTGTGCTTGGTGCCTGGGAATGACTACAGCTCCAAGGAGACCCTTAGAAAGTAGGAGAGGGACTCCCATGGTCAGGCGTGCCGAAACACAGCATCAGCTGCATCATGCGCAGCTTGGCTCATGGCAGGATCTGCCATTCCTAGCCCCAGGACCCCCGTGGGGGCACTTGTAGGGTCCTCACCCAGTAGCAGACACATGGTAGCCTTGGGAGGCTCTTAGTAGAAAGAGAAGCCATTTCCAAATTCCCCTTCTTTGCCCAAAGTTCCACCCCGTTCCACCCCAGTAACAATCACTCCAGGGACAGGCCGCCTCAGCCACCCTCATGATGCTCCGGTCCCCGCTGGAGCCATGCTTCCTGCAAGGCCAGCTGTGTCTCTACAGCCCCTGCTGGTACTTGTGCCTGAGGCCTTCTCCACAGGGGTCCCTGCTGCCACTTACGACAATTGGCCTGCTCTCTCAGTGCACCCTGTTAGACACTTGCATTAACGACTTTCTTGACGACTGAGTCATTCTATCATGGCACTAGGCACACAAGGACACTCTCAAGTGTCCCAGCAGGGTGGTCAGGGAAGCGCCAGGACAGAGGAAAACTGTGTTACCTCATACCGAGAAGCCCAGGCCCAGTGGACGGGCAGGCTGGACACTCCTTGAACCTTGCCAGAGAGGACAATGAGGAAGATAGTGTCCCTAACTGGGCAAGGCACAACCTGTGCGCAGGTGTGAGATGGAGAGTGAAGGGCAAGAGGAGGCAACCATCCAAGCAGCAGCAGCAGCAGCAGCAGCAGCAGCAGCAGCAGCAGCAGCAGCAGCGTTCATTCAGATTGGCAGGTGGGACCTTCTAGCCTTGTGGTAGGGCTTCTTCCTCTGTCCCAAAGACCCACCCAGGAGACCCTTCCTCCACACCTTGGAGATACAGAAAAAAAAAAAAACCAAAACAAACAAACAAACAAACAAACAAACAAAAAAACTTTACACCAACAAGGACTTGACGAGGCCGTAGTGGAACTTGCGGACATGCCGATACAGGTCCCCAGACTGTGTGAATCGGCGCTCACACCAGCGGCAGGCATGGGGCTTCTCCCGTGTGTGAACCACCGCATGCCGGCTTAAGTTGTGTGAGTACTGGAAGCCCTTGCCACACTGCACGCAGGTATAGGGCTTCTCCCCAGAGTGTGTCCGCTCGTGCCTCTTCAGTGTGTACGTGCAGGAGAAGGTCTTGCTGCAGAGCGGGCACGTGGGCACGGCCCCCTCAGAGGAGAGCCTGGCACGAACGCTGTCCCGCTCTCGGAAGTGGGCGCTGAGATGCAGCTGCAGGGCATGGGGGCTAGGGAACAGCTTGCAGCACAGCGGGCAGATGCAAAGGTGCCTACTGGGACCCAACTCCTCGTTGTCCACCACCGGCTCCGCGTCCAACCCAAGCTGCTGGCTTCCCGTCCCTTGGATGTGCACTGGCAGGCCCTGGGCCGTAGAAGCACAGCCTGGTGGTGGGGATCTGTCAGCGGTGCTCTGAGGGCTGCTGCTGCTGTCTTGTTCAGAGAATGAATCTTGCTCGGCCTTCACCAGAGGCTGGGCCCCTTGCTGCATGGAGCTGCAGAGGGATGTCTGGAGGAGGCAGGGTGGGTGGACCTGCTCAGGGCTTGGGCCAGGCTTCAGTGACAGGTCCAGGGCCCCACCTGACTCCCCTGTGACCTGCCAAGATGGAGGTCCAAATGTTGGCAGGGGATGGGCAGCCTTGACCCCTAGAGATGGGGGTTTGGTCTTCGGTGCAGCTGGGCAGAAGTCAGGAGACCAGGAAGGCAGGGGTTGCGATGGCTGACCAGGAAGCTCTGTCTCCAGCATGCGGGTCTCCAGATCTGGGTCCTTCTTCCTAAGCCTGCCCTTGCAGACCTTGACGATGTCATACATGTGTAGGTAGCTGGCGGCAGCCAGGACGTCCTCCACAGGTAGGCTGTGCAGGTCCAGGCGGCCCTCGTACATGAAGTCCAGCAGGCGGCTGAAGGCGGGCACCGTGACGATGTCGCCGTTGAGCCGCACCGTGTCGCGGCTGCTCGCGGGCTGGTCCCTGTAGAAGAGATGGAAGTAGACACTGCACGCGGCCAGGACAGCGCGGTGCGCAGGGAAGCGCGCGTCGCCCACCAGGACAGTGCAGTCGCACAGGAAGCCCAGCTCGCGCTGCTGCCGCAGGCGGCCCAGCAGCCTTACGCCGTGCTCCGGGAACTCCATGCCGCCGCAGTCATCACCTGGGCACAAACGGGACGCCTGTCAACACGCCGGGGATGCCGTGGCCGCTGCTCGCCCCGACGCGCCCTTCCCCGGGTGCAGGCAGCCCACAGAGAGGCGCGGGAGTGACGCGAGCAACCGCCAGCCCCGAGCCGCCCCGGCACCTGCCCGGAGCAGGAAAAACTCGATCGAAAGTAAACAGAAGCCGCTCTGCCGCCGGGGCGGGGCTCGGGGCGCAGCGCAGGGGCCGAGCCGCGCGGACACAAGTCGCGGACTTCAGGCTGCCTAGCCCGCCCGCCCGCCTGCCGCGCCCCCCGACGCCGGAGTCGCCGCCCGCCCGCGCCGCCGCCAGCTGCCACCGCTGCCGTCGGCCCCATTTATGGCAGCGCGGCCGCGGGGAGCGGCGGGTGCGGCAGGCGGAGCCGGGAACCCGCCCCTGCCCTCACCTCCGCCGCACGCGCGGCTCTCCGCTGGTGCTGCAGGCTCTCCCGCGCAGCTCGGACCGCGCGGAGCTGCGGGCGGCGCGCCCCGGCCGGCCGGGAGGGCGCGGGGACCCGGACGGCGCCGGGCGGGGCGCGCACTAAGTTGGCTGGCGGGGCAACGCCGGCTGCTTGCCCCGCCCCGGAGAGTGAAACTCTCGGCTGGGGCTGGAGGGGGCGGGCCGGGCGACTTCCCGGAGCGGCGGAACCGCTGAGGTCACCTCGCTACCCCTTCTCTGTCCGCCCCACCCGGTCAGTCCCGCTAGGAGCCAGCCCGCGCTCTGTGGCGGGAGGGGGTGCGGGACCCTCTCGCGATACTTGTCTCCTGGGCCTCTGTGCCCTCCATGGGGTCCGGACTGCCCCGGTGGACAAAGGGACACTTCCCAGGCGTCTGCCTCTCCCTGCACAGTGCACCCGCAGTCACTGCGTGGCCGGGACAATGGCCTCGGGCCGTTGGTAGGCGCAGCCCTTCAGATGGGTCAGGGCGCCACTGGGAGATCACAGATTTCAGAAAGAAATTCACTTCTTCCTAGGAATCGGTGTCTGGAGGAAACTACGTTAACGTAGCTGGGACAGGCCGAGAAGCTGGGGCCCCTGACACAGGATTACCGCCTTTGCAGATCCTGGGCTGGCAGCCGCGCACACGGTCTGTGACAGGGCAGATGTAGTGGCTCCGGTGAAAGACACAATCACCTCCACAGTTAGGCAGGCAGGTCACAGGATGTGTTAGAGGGGTGATATGGAGAGAGGCTAGGGCTGGCACCCTGGGCAGAGTGTTCCAGGAGGAATCAGGGTCACACTTGATTCTAAGAGGAGACACCTGGTTCTTCTGGGGGAAAGGAAATGTCAAGAACAGTAGAGCTCTGGGTTTGGAGGAGTAGAGCCTCGGGCTACACTGATGGCTGGAAAGTCTTCTCTCCCAAGAGTGCAGGTGGAGGGGTCTCCTTGACCGAGGGGGTTTGACGTTACTTGAGACATTGCTCAAGTCAGCTTCACAGGCCTGTCCATTAGAAGCTCTCATTTGTGGTTCTAGGGTGAGGAAGGGGCCACTTAGCACTAAACTGCAGGGCCAGGGATTCTATGGAGCTAGGCGCATTCTGAATTTTCACCTTGCATTTGTTAAAAGCTCGGGAACCAAGAATGCTGGGTAGTCCAGGAACCAAAATGCTAGAGGGGAGGTAGAAAGGACGGTAGCGCTGCACAGGGTAGGAATACAGTAGACAGGGCAAAGGCCAGGTGTTTGGGTAGACTGGCCAAAGGCATTCTGGGTGAAGGGGGCTGGTGAGTTCCCACCCTTGCTCTTTAGAAACTCAGAACAGGGTGTCCAGTTGTGTGTGTTTGGGGGGTGGGGGCTCTGGCCTCCAGGGGGTCTGTTCAAAGCTGATGGACTGGAAGCTTAAGAGGCTGCCAGGATCCGTGAAGGACCTAGATTCTACAGGGAAAGAGACTACATTGTTATACTAAACAGAAGGATTTCCAGTTCTAGGACAACTTGAGTTACATGGCAAGGCCCTATCTCAACTTCCTGTCCTGGAAAAAAAAAATGGTGTGTATCTGAAATGCAAATTTGACTGGATATAGGCATTATTTCCTAAATCTGGCAACTGCAGCAAGAAACTCAGAAGCAAGCTACATTTGCCCAAGCGCAGCACAGCTGAGGGGTACAGCTTGGTTGTCTCCAACCTGAAGAGAGAGCCAGTTTCTTCCTCTCTGCCTCAGTTTCCTCCACTCTGTGGAAATGGCCCATGCCATGTATTCAGGGTAAGCTCAGATCCTACTGACCCTCTCTGAGCTTGCCTGGATTGGAGCCTGCCTCTGCCTCAGCCCCTTCAAGGGTTAGCATGACTCGGAGCCCCTACATCAGCCCCTACTCTTTAATACAGTTCCTCATCATGTGGTGACCCCAACCACAAAATTATTTTTATTAGTACCTCATAAGCATAATTTTGCTACTGTTATGAATCTTAAAGCAAACATCCATTTTCTGATGATGTTAGGTGGCCCCCTGGGAAAGGGTCGTTTGATCCCTCAAAGGAGTCACGGGTTGAGGGCCGCTGTTGTATATATACCCTTAATAATCTCCACTAGCAGAATGGGAATCAGCACCTTCCAAGGCTCTAGTAAAACTAACTTTGGGACATACTACAAAGTGATATGCCTTGAATTCCAGAACGTTCCATCTCCTCTTCATTCCTGTCTTTGCTTGAAGGTCATCCCTTTAGCTAGAGTAGTCCTGAACTGCAACCCATTCTCCATTCCTGTTTGGCCCTGTGTGGGGTGTTCGGGGAGTCAAAGGTTGTCAGACAAGGTGCATCCTTGTTCTTTATCAGGGCCATGGCTTCTGTGTGCTCTGATGGATCTGTAGCCTGCCATAGAATGGCTTGGAGAAAAGGATGGCTGGGTGTTGAATGGTGACCTTTGCCCCTCTTCCTCCACATTGGGCATCTAGCAGTGCCTCCAAAGCCTGGCCCCTTGGTTACTCTGCACAGCTTTTAGGGCAGCGAAGTTGTGTGGGTACAAGACAGTGAACCTGCTGCCTGCAGGAGCTGGCACACCTGCAGGTCACACTGTGTTGCTCAGGCTGGTCCATCATCCCTGCTGAGGAGCCCGCCACCTGCCACTCCAAGATCCCTCTTTCCTGGCCAGTAGCCTGTGGCGTACAGATGACAGAGGCTATCACAAAGCCACAGTCTGAACCTCTCCAGATCTGGGGGTACCATCTAACCTGGGAGCTGCCTCAAGCTCCCACCCTGCAGTTGATGGCCAGGCCCCTTAGCTCAGGGCTCAGGCGCTTAAGTCCTACCAACTGCCAGCGGCTGCAGGAGATGACAGAAGTCCTCAGTGCCTGGAGAGGGCCAGAGACCGCAGTTTTTGTTGGGGACATCTGGCTGAAGAGCATGTCAGCAGTGAGTCTCAGCAAGGCAGGGCTCTGGGGCTTGCCTCTCACCTTGTGGTTCTCTCTAGGAGGCCCAAGAGGGGTGTTGCTAAAGTGCGGGCCCAAAAGAGGGAGTCGCCATGCCCAGCGTGACTGTAGGAAGACTCTGGACAAAGGGGAAGGTGGAGACACGAAGAAGGAAGGCAGGGCTGGGCACTGCATAGAAACAGGGCTCACAGCAGGATGCGGTGGCCCACGCCTCTACTTCCAGTACACAGGGAGGCAGAGGCAAGATGATCTCAATGAGTTCGAAGTCAGCCTGGTCTACAAAGCGAGTCCACGACAGCCAAGGCTACTCAAAGAAGCCCTGTCTCGAAAAACGGAAAAAAGAAAAAAGAAACAGGGCTCACTACAGGTAGGAGCGCGGCAGCAGTGGCCTCCAGGAAGAGCCCCCAAAGGAGACCGGTCCCTGGAGAAGAGCCAGAAATTGCTACGTCTTCCACAAGAGGGCGCCCTGCTGGCTCCCAGTGGCCACTCCCCACTGCCCAGACCGGTGTAGCACTGGGTTTGGGGAAGTAGGGGAGGAGGACTAAGGGGCTCTGGGGTGAAGGTTTGCTGGGTGAGTGATGGATCTGTGTGTGAGTCTCAGCCTCGAGGGCAACCCTCAGGTCAGATACACAGCTAGAGCAGAACAGACACGCTGCTGGGCCTGTGACTTAACGCCCTGGAGGCTCTCTGAGCTGGGGTAGCTGTGCTGCAGAGAGGGCGCAGAACAGAGCTCCCCACCCCCGCCACCCGCATCCTTGTCTTATGAGCGTGTCCCTCCCCCACCCTGCTGAGAGGAGACTGAGTTCTTCTCCAGGAGAGGGGCGTGCTTTCTAGGCCAGCCCCAGAGAAAGAGCCCCGATTTTAGCGACAATCCATCCTGGGCCATAGCGTGGACTAAACTACCCTCCTGTTTACAATTCCAGGTGAACTCTGACCCTTGGATGAAAAACAAAAAAAAAAATGCCCCCTCGGAAAAAATTCCAAACACATGAAGGTAAATTCACAAGAGGATTATTATCAATATGGGCCTCTGGGATGAGGGAGGGGCCCGCGCAGGAACTGCTGGGGCAGGCTGAAGGGGGTTGGACCGAGGATGGATCAGAGGCAGGAGCCACCTTGACTCTTCAATTCCGGGACACCATAAGGAACCGCCCCCCGTGCCTCGCCCATCTGGGTCCACAGCAAGGTCTTGGCCGAGTCCGACCCTTGAATCGGCCCCCTCTGGGTGTCCAGGTGTGTCCCCTTCCCCCTGTCACCTGCAGCCCCCTTATCAGTTTCTGTGGCAGACAGTACTGAGTTGAACGAGCCCTCCTTCTCGTGTAGCTTGGCCTTGAGGACACCGGCGGCCAGTCTCTCCCGGCTCCCAAGATGGGGACAGTTGGGCCTCTTGAGGGTCAAAACGATTCACTGTCCACGCCGGCCTCCGTGGGGTCTGGAGAGCTAGGCCGAAAAGTGCCAGGTCGTTGGCAAACCGAGAAACCTAGGCCGGGGCCGGAGCTCTGGATCTGCGGCGGGGCTCCGTTACCCGCGTGGCTCTGGCTCCGGGCCACCCGAGGGCGGCGCCCGCGGTGCCGCGCTCGCGCTCTCGGTGTGCCTCGCCCTGGCCGCGGGCCGCGCCGGGGGCGCCCGGGGCGG